ACTTTGGAAGATACTCACTTGATTTGTTTAACTCAGACTGCTGAAGATTCATATTAACTTTAGATCAACTTTGGAATATATTTTACACACAAAGACTGTGGATTTTGTCCCCTATCACTTCCAGTGGAAGGACGGCCAGTATAAACAGAAAGAACGATTACAGCAAGCAAAACCCGTTTAAATGTTCATAGGGGCACCGGAAAACTGTTTTGACACAGATGTGAAAAATTATGAAACAACCCTTTAATGTCATAGTGGCACAATTATTAAAATGAGCAGTGATTCCCTTTTACTTTAGTCACTCTTACTATATCTTTAACAGAATTTATTTTCATTTAAATAATGTAAAGTGACAGGTAGTTTCAGAGGGAATGTTTTAATGGTAGATCATTTCCACATGACAATGACACAATTAAAAATGTTCTCATGTCAACCTTTTTTCCACAGTTTTCCCTTAAAGTAAGCTGGATTTAAACAGATTATTTTTTGCACCCTCCTACCATTCATGTAACACTTTTCCATGTAAGAAAATACAGCATTTTAAAACATATTTGGCAATACAGAAGCAAACCCAGTAAGTTTTCCTCCACAAAGAAATGTAATAAACATTTTATGCTGACATGGATTCCTAGCCCTCCAACCCCTCAATGTTTTTTAAAACTAAAATAACCCAGAATGTTAACAGTCTATACAGCTAAAGGGCATAATTAATGATGAAAAAGAACATTACAATCATGTATTTTAAACAGAGTGTATTCTTAGCTAACAAACATGTCCTAGCTAGACAAAATCAAGATGATAATTATAGAGTGGAGTTCAGAGAGGAAAAAAGGAACGGCCATTGATTTGACAGGGCAATTTGTCTGGCAATTTCTGAATGGATTTTTGCACCGATACTGGACATCAAATCTTTGGGAATTACCAATTTATCAGATTACATCTTAAGGAAAGCAAGCAGAAGTGCCTGTTACAGTTACCATTCTTCATTTTACAAGGCTATTACTGTTGCTCGTCTTTGGCTCAAGGCCTAGTGATCAAACAGAAGGCACTTTTGTTGGCATTGGTGATGCAACTAACATGGCAGTTATACCTCAGGGCCTAAATGAATATTAATGAGAATGCAGTATTGATCATTTTGACCTTCTGTTTGACATTAAATCATCATTCAACATGGTGATCCTTATACCAGCCAAAGATTTCTAACTTTTGACTCAACATCCAAATTCCTTATCCATTTCTTTAAAGTAACTGCACACAACTAGTGTAATAGGGCTTGCATATGACTGGAATCATGTACATAATCATAATAATAATAATAATAATAATAATTATAATAATTATAATAGGCTACCTACTGTACACTGGTCAGCTCTATGGTCGAAACTCACAGGACCGATCGTTGTTGCCACAAAAACTAGCAAGTTATTTCAGTTTGACGTCTCTAAATTAAAAAAAAATTGTCTTGTGCAAGTGAATCCATAGGAGACTTGTCTTTTATGTAAGTGAGCAGGCTTTCCCAGAAACAGGACAAAGACAAAACAGTGTGGTTGTTAATCTCATTCTGAACTGAGATGAGTAAGAACCTGATGTAAGCCCGACAAGGCAATACTGTATAAGGAAGATCTTAAAGATTTGCTAAGAAGTGATGCAAACATTTAAATCATTGGAGGACCATACAGTTTGTTAAAAAAGGACTGGACTGGTGCTCGCATGTTTTACTACCAATCATGTCAATGTGACATGACTGCCAACCATTTTCCAAACCATAGTGTTTAAAGTTTTTCTTCCAGACAGCCTTTGGTTTCCATTATTTTCAGTACAGCATGAAATCTTTCTTTTTTTAATTAGCTTAATGGGAAACTTTTTCAATAAATTTTACACATCAAAGCGTGTTTACAGGTCCTGGGAGTACTACTGCATGTTCTAAGAGTTGTTTAAAGCCTTTTGTGTCTCCAGAGGGGGCTGTGTGAAGTCTGACAAATGTCCTCAAGTGATGTCACTTGTTTGTTTGGGTGTGAAGACTACAAGTTTGAAAATAAATAAAACATCTGGGGGTGTGGTGTTAGAAAGAAGTGAGCTTGCCAGACCTCTACAGCCCGCTCCTCATCTCTAATTGAGGCTACCCGCTCGAGGCTACATTAGCCGCTACGAGCACAACACAACCGAGTCTCTGACCAAACTGTCAGCAGCCGATTGTGGCAGCAGGTTTCAGAAGAATGCGTCAAATAAAATGAAAAAAGACACTATCTCTGGTTCTGCTGCACTGATTTTGAATATATGTAATATGAGTGCAATGCTAAATCAGTGGTATACTCTTAACGTTATCCATCAGAGTGCAACTGACATTTATCAGTTTTATTCTTTATTCTAACCCAAAGGACAATTATGGACATAGTGAACAGTATATGGGATCTTCACGGCAAAGGTTTAAGTGTTGGAAGTGTCTCCTAAAATCTATATCACCTCATTATGAAATTAATGGAAACTGTCTGCCTGGAATGTAGGAAAATCTATGTCAATATATAACACGTTATGCTTTGGAAAATGGGTAACAGTGATGTGACACTGTATAAGTTAAGTAGTAAATGAGTACAACATGCATGAACAGACAACAGTTTCACTTTGACAATATCCTGGGGAAAAAAGTCACTTCAGTTTCCATAGTCATACACAACTGATGTATTCATAAGTTATCACAGGCAGCATGTCACTGAAATTACTTTCAGAACTGTTGCCATTAACAGTACTCCGACAACCCTCACCCCACAAAAAAAAAAAGAAACTCTCAAGGAAAACTTGAATTCTATTAAACGTGAAAGGGCATGGAGACTAGCAGTGATGGAAACTATTAACAAGCTGGTTAAACACCACAGATGAATCACATTATTACAGTTATTACTACGACTGTTCTACATCTTTGACAGTGTGTGTAAGATTGTCCGATGGCCAACATATGCTTAAAGCCAGGAGATAGTGTACCATGCATCTGAAAAGTAGGATGCTTCAATCAGTGGATTCTGGATGGAAAAGAGACAATGGTCCTACTCTGTTACTTGGAGCCGAACTGAACTGACAATACTGTGGATCTCCAGCAAAGCCACTAGGAGCTGCGGCTGCTTTTCCCATACTGTGATCTGTCTCCGTACAAACCTTGTTACGTTAGATTAACCACTTAATGAAAAGCGTCGCTGTCTGCAGCTGTTCATCTTAGAAAACCATCGGCGACCTGGAGATTTTTCCCACTGGTGCAAAAATCCTACAAACTCCACATATGGCTTAACATACTGTTTGTCTTCTTACAGAATCTTACACCTCGTTAGGCTTCTGCCGCTCATGTCGACAAAGCTCGACATTCTCCAAGTTTTGTTCACATCCTGCAAATGAACTGTAACTCAGCTTGGCAAGATCACCGTTACTGTTCAATTGACATCACATGTATACAGGCTGGACAGCGAACACGAGCCAGGTGAGCAATAACGCAACTGAAACAGCAAGATAAGAGATGCTTCTGCCACCAGGCCACTCTATCCTTGAGCAGACAATCACAGTGTAGCAGCCTTTTGCTACCTCATGAGACTATTAGGGAGGGAGAAACACTTCACTGGTATCTTAATCTACAAAACTGTGATCATAAAAATAAAGCCTTGGACCTGTGACAATAAAACAACGAGCAAAACTGGAGTTAACATGACAATACCCCCCAACCCCCCCGCCCCAGCCCCAAAACGTAAAAAAAAGAAAA